CACCTGGAAAAGAGAGCAGAAGGAATAAAAAGGGGAATCCAGGTTCTGAGGGAGGTGGTAGGCTCACATCAATTGTGGGTGTGGAATATGCTGGCTATGGGAACACAGATTATGATCTCTGACAGGCTCTCATGACGTTTTTTCCATGCCTCGTATGGGAAGTTCCCTATGCAGCTCTGCTGTATGTTTTCCTTTCCTCATTCTGTCAATTTCTGTGCTGAGCCAGGTTTGACACATTTTGTTCCCTGTTCCCTGACCATTTCCTAGGAAAGATTGTGCAAGGCAGAGGCGCATGTGTGGTGGGCGTGGGCCACTATTGCCGAGTTCTCACTTAGGCCTTTGGAGAATCTATTTTTTGCAGAAGCTCAGCCAGTGTAGAAATGAACAGGGGAAAATCCCAGCCCTGTCAGTGCTGTCTGCTGCCAACACGTTGCTGAGCATAAATTGTGAGGCTCGACACTTCCTCTGTTAATTCTTGGTAGAAATTGGTTTCCTTTCCTGAAATCTGCTGTGTTTGGCTCTCAGAGACATGCAAGCCATCACCTAGATATTAATTATCACTTACCTATTTCTTTTATAGTCCCTCATAGGACTAACTTTCCTTTGCCAGCAAAAATTTTGTCAGTTTAGACAAAGCTGACTAAAGCTCCAAGCTAATGTAAGGTAGCACTGTTGGTATCATTGTTGGTTATCTTTCCACAGCCAAATATCTGACTTATCCACAAGTCCATGGTATCACACGATACAAGCAGGTGTTTTGGGAGGTGTTGACTTGAATTGCTTTGGAATCTGAGGCTCCTCCCTGCTTGGTTGCTGCCCTTGTGACTGAAGGTATGGAATAGCCACAGGTGAGCCTGAGGTGAGATTTGAGGCTCCCTCCTGCCCCGGACAGACAGAGTTCCCATACGGACACGGGGAAGGGCTGTGGCACAAAGACATTTGTGCTGTGACTCAACTGCAGTTGAGTTTGTGAGCTTGTTTCCTGTCTGACTTTGTGACAGCATCTTTCATGGTCATGTTTGTTTGTTCCTGCTCCTGATTTGGCTCTCTCACCTCTCCAGGCTGCTCCAGCATAGGGGACTGTGTTCTTCTCCTGGAAAAGAGGGTGTTCTCCCTATGGGGTGCCTTGCCCCCCACACCTGCTCTGTGGAATAAGGTTTAAAGTGGAGCTGGAAAGCAAACAGCATTGGGAATTAAACAGCTTTCTTAATTTCTCTTTTCTTCCTCTTTTGTTTAAATAAAAAGTTGGAGACAGCTGTGGAGGAAACGTGTTAAAGAGGAAAAGGATGTTGAAACACAAAGATCATGATTTCTAGGGTGCCACAGTGGGTGCTGCTGGCCCGACTTCTGGTTAGAACATCCTTTTTAAGCAGTGACTGTTCTGTGAGTGCCACCTGTGTGTTGTGGAGAGCAGCAGGTGGAAGGAGCAGCAGTGATACGCCCAGGACGCAGCTGATGACTTGAGGGTGTACCCAGGTCACATGAAACCATTGTGGTCACTTCTTTATCAGGAGTGTAGGAAAAGAATAGCCTATTTAGCCACAGATTCTTTACATAAAAAATAGCTGCCTAGGAGGGTACTGCTTTCCTCCCCAGGAATCATTGCCTAAACAGGAAGCTGTTTATTTAGGTGGTCTGTATTTTACCAGCTGGTGTACAAAGGGTGGTGCTGTCTGGATGACCTTCACTGGAGTTCATTTCCCTCCTGACTGGGAGGTAGGAGTTGTGCTAAGGTCACCTTTGCTAAAGGGACAGCAAGGCTAAGAGCACACATTTCCAGAATAATTCAACATTAAGTGGCTCAAACTGTGGTATGAGAGTTTTCAGTCACTCCTCTTCCTCCACCCACAAGGTGTGCAGGTGTGTTTTTCCAAAGAATTCAGTGTACTGAATGGACTTTTTAAAATTTGGAATGGAATTAAATAATTTAAAATGGAATTTTTAAAACTCTACTTAAGGTTTCTTCTCGCTTGAGAATCCTGCTCTAAGCTCTTTCTAAAAATTTGCCTGTAGGAACTGTGCTGAGCTTGCTTGGAGAATCTCTTTTCCTGATTAGTGCAACAGAATTTATGATCAAGTTCTTTAAAGGGACTTGTGTGTGGTCTTCCCAAGATTATCTAGATGATTTCTTTTTATTTCTATTATTCTATTATGATTTATTTCTATTATTTCTATTGTTATTTATTTTTATTTATCTCTAGATTATTTCTTGATTCCCTTCAGAATTAAGAGTGAGATTCCCTTCAGCCTCCAAATGTGTTGCATTTGGACACTCCATTCCACTTCCAGCATGTTTGTGTTGTGTTGGTAATTGACAGCTGTTTATTTTGATTTTCAACATGAGGATTAGGTAATTCTTCACTAGGTTGGGAACAGTGGTGGCCAGCCTGTGTTATTTCTCTGCCAGCTGTAATTTTTATGTGGAGAATGCAACTGACACACCTTGAATGTGAGAATTCATTGCCCAGAACAAATGTGTTTCTCAACATGCATTTCATTTTGCTTCTGTTTCTCTCCTTTGGGGTGAAGTTTCAGGAAAGGACATTTCAGTGGTGCATTTTTGCTCTCTGGGCCCATTTGTCCTGTTGCTCTCTCAGAGTGTCACATACACACAGATTTCCTGCATTATTCCAGAGAGGAGAATGTCAGCATCTTGAAAGGAAACACTTGAAGGGCAAAATGAAGGCAGCTGTTTTATGGCCATGAGTTTAGAATCATATGATGACTTTTATGACTGCATTTCCTCTTATTCTCTTGAGATACAGAATGTTTCTGTGTGTGTGAGGAAGGGAGGTGGATCTACGCAATGCATGTTAAAAATGTCATCAGTAAAGTTACAGGAATTTGTTCTCAAGGCTGAAAAGTACATTAGGCTTTAGTTTAATTTTCTCTTCTGTTTCCAGAAGCCCAAGATCAGTTTTCCTGAAGGATTGTGCACACAGATGTGGGATGGATGGACAATGTGTGTGGTCCCCAGGCCAGGCAGACTGACTCCTCTCCATCCCATCAGAGCAGAACTTCCCTGGGAGGGAAAACACTGTCCTGTGCCATGCAAGGGGATTTTTGGGTGGAAGGGGTATGTGTTGAGCGTATGATTACCAGGAGCTTGGCATATTGTGCTGGTTTGGAGAGGAAGTTAACAGGTGAGTGAGCAATATTTGTAGCCACAATACAGAAAGCTGGTTTTGAAAGCATCTTTGGGGTGGCTACTTTAGCTGGAAGGACGTGTAGAGAGGTCATGGCCACATGCACACAAATACAGGTGGCATTTAGAGGGTTCAGGGGCATGGAGTACTTCTGGCCACCTTGTGCTGCTGAGGCTGTCTCCTGTCTGGCAGATGTCATGGTAAGGACCATTCTTTGCACATTTGACCCAATCTGTGTGCTCTTGCTCCTCACCATCCACTGCTCCCCACCTCTGCCGCGTGTCCAGAGCTGGATGTTTATGAGAGCTGGGCTCCCTGGCTGCACCAGCAGTGATTTTTATCAGTTCCTCTGTGTGACGAAGTAAAGGTAATAAGGAAGGGTAGTAACCCCGCCCATAGCACAGACCCCTCCCTGATGGCCTTGGATGCTGAGGTGAACTAAAGGGTTAGTGACACACGGCTGTCCTGAGCAGAGCAGGTCAGCAAACTCCCCCACAGCCTGTTCAGGTTGGCTCTACCATTACCCACATATGTGCTGTCTTCACATCTTAACTACTTTTTTTTTTGAGCCCTGAGCAGCGCCCCTTGTCACTTCATATTGTGCCAACAGGCTCTGCAGCCAGCTCAGCACGGATCCCTCCTGCCAGTGGCCATGTGCCTGGGCACAGTGCTAGTAAATATTGAGTATACCAATGGATCTCAGCTCACACTGAGATCTCTGCAGCTGTGTACACCCAAAGGAACAGGCACTTGGAAAAGCTGCTTCACCTTAGGGATCTTTTTGGCTGGAGGTGGGACGGGAGAAGGGTACAGGTTCTCTCAAATAACTTTGTAGTACTGGAGAAGGCTGAGAATCAGACCAAGACGAGCTGGCATACCTGGCAGGTGGGACCATGGCACATATGCTTTGCTATGCATTGCCTCCCTGTTAAGAAGTTTTTTATTCTCTACAAACCAGAGAAAACTAGCTGGAAACCCAAGTGAAAAATTGATGTGGCTGCAGCACGAGCACGGGGCTGTAGTGTTATGGTGTTTCAGGTGGCCCTCGGGTTAAGGGGCTGAAATAGAGATTGTCAAGCAAGTTTTTATGGTCAGGCAAAGTTATTCACGTGAGAAGAGAAACGGAAATAGTTGAACTGCGCCGTTGGGTTTTCCGCCTCTTTTATCAGTGTGGGTTTTTGCGCTTGCCGCTTACTTAGAAGACTGAGGGAGCGGTTTCGTGTTCCATCCCCGAGTGATGCAACCGCGGCGGCGACACGCTGCCAGGGACAGGGCTTTCTGTAAATGTGACATCGTCACTTGTGGAATGCTGCAAAGGCGGATGCTGGGTGTCCGCTCCCCTCGCTTTCTCTTTCCTCTTTCTTACCCCCGCTTTCCCTTCCCTTTTTTCCTTTCCACCCATTTTTTCACTTCTTCCCTCCCTTTCGCTTTCCCTCTCTCTTTTCGTTTCTCCCTTCCCTTTCCCATCTTTTTCCTCCTTTCGTTTTCTCCTGACCTCTTTCTCCCTTTTCCCCCTTCCCATCCCTTTTCCTCTCTATTTCTCCCGGTCGCTCCTTTTTCCTTTCTCCCCTTTCCCTTTCTCCTTTCCGCCCGCTCCCCATAACGCAGTGACGGTGGCCGCGGGCATTGCGGGGGTCCCTCCGTGCACAGCGGGGTCCGGGGCTGGGTTCCTCCGTGTCCCCCCGCCGTCAGCCCCACAGTGTCCCCCGGTGTCGGTGCGGGGCAGGTCGCACTCCCGGTGTCGGTGCGGGGCATTCCCGGCAGACCGCAGGCACCGCCCCGCTCCGCCCCGCTCTCAGCCGTCCCTATAAGGGCGGTGGCGGCGGCAGGGCACGGCCAGAGCCCGCTCCGCTCGGTGTCGCCGCTGTCGCTCCGTGTGTCCCAGCCTAGCCATGACGCTGCCCCGTGTTCCCCTGTGCGCCGCGCTGCTGCTCGGCCTCCTCCTGCGAGCCGCCGCCGCCGAGTCGGTGAGTCCGGCCGGGCCCCTGAGGGACAGGGGGAAAAGGGGAGGGTCTGTCCCGGCAGTGAAGGGCTCCCGGTGCCCTGAGGGGTGGGTGACCCGCGGGTATCGCGCCCCGCTCGCTGGCAGCCCGAGAGCCGGTGCCACCGCTGCCCCCGGGGCGGTCTGCCCTTCTCCGGGGGAAGGGAAGGGTGAGCGAAGTACGGCCATGGGGCCGTTCCCGTTCTTCCTCCGGTTCCCTTGGCTCCGGCGCTGCTTCCTCCGGCAGATGCCGAGGCAGCGCCGCGCCGGCCCGGCCGTGCCCGGTGGGTGCCCCGTTGTCGCCGTGCCTGGTGGGTGCCCCGCTGTCCCCGCTCGGCCGTGCCCGGTGGGTGCCCCGTTGTCGCCGTGCCCGGTGGGTGCCCCGCGCTGTCCCCGCTCGGCCGTGCCCGGTGCCCCGCGGCTGTGCCGCCTCTCACGTATCCCGCTCTGCCCCGCTCAGGGTGCTGGGATTGCAGCACTGGAGGGCACCCGGCTACCTGGTGGAAATGAGCCGCTCTCCATTACAGTTTTAATCTTCAACTTCTGGTCGTGAAAATGCTGTAATTCTTATTTTCTTGTGCGTGTGGATGCGTTACAGTACCCGGATAGGCTTTCCAGCCTTACCTGAGTTTGGTGGTACTGGTACCTGATGTTTTTTTCTGTCTGTCAAACCTTCCTCGCGTCCACATGGGAGTGAAAAGCGATGCATTACCGTGGAGTGTTTAAAAATCTCTTAAACGTACAATGAGGTGAAGCATTTGGATGTTCTTCAAGCCGGCACATGTGGGGTCTCCGTGGTGAATCAGAGGTCTGGGCATTCTGGCCTCCCTGCTGTTTGTTTGTTTTTGTGTGTGACCATCTTGCTGATAGTGCAATCGGGGCGGATTCCTCGGGTAGTGTGAAAGAGCTGCTGAGATTAAGGTAACTGCAGGAGATCAGGGATTCCCAAAGTAGATTTAATCATCCGCATAGGTTTGTTTTGGACTGATGGCTGGGTGGGCCGATCAGAACTGATAAGGCTCTGCTGCTTTCTTGTAGGGACACAGGGCTGGGGGGGTTGCTGATTGTAGGGCAGGAATCTCCCACAGAGAGCATCTGTAGTAATTGTCAGCTACTCTCTAAAACCAAGCAGCCCAAATCCACTTTACTCTAATCTGGTGTGTTTATCCCGGCCATTAAGCACGTGAATCGGTCGTTTGGGATCTGGCCCAAACTAGCAGGGCAAACCTTTGGGGCAGACAGCATCTGGAAGTTGCACTGACCATGTTTGGTATGAAATGCAACTTGGTGTCCCTGGGGACTGGACTGGTCTGCCAGCATCGGGTTTCTACAAAGACAACAAATTTTGCACAGATGTGGTCTGTAAATACTTTTATAGAATTTACGTGGAATATTTATCCGTGTCTTTTAAGCTACCTAACATTGAGTGTATGCTTGAGAAGTAACACTGGCCTACTATAAAGCCTAATCCAAACAAATTGTTTGGGTTACAGGGGAGGAGACAAGGATGACACACGGTTTGGGAGAGTTTTGCTGGCACTCCTCCCATATTTTTTTTTAATAGCACTGCCAAAACGTGCAGGGCTGCACAGCATGTGGCTCTTGGTTTTTCTGTGCGGGCAGGGTGAGGACAGGTAGCCGTTTCTTAACAAGATGGGGATTGTATTTCTTGTGCTTATGTAAGAGCATGGACGTTGAGAGTGAATCCGTGCTTGAATATTTCCCCACGCCTGTACAAACAAAAGTGCCTTGGCTCTTTTCCCCTTGAGCAGCTTTCTGGTGTAAATGGGATTTCTCCGTGTGAAGCAATCCTGGATGTGTAAGAGGGTGGGGAGTATGACTGAAGTGCCTCAGTGTGACGTGGGAGCCCAGGCTGTGGGTGGGTGGGTTGTGTTACAACAGCCCCGCAGCTTTGTGTGAGAACATTGCCTTCTTCCCCTGGTGCCTGATGTCCCCAGGTGGTCCCCAGCCCTCTCTGCTCGAGTGCCTTGGAAAGCAGAGGATGCGTGGGCAGGATGCTCCCCTCTGTGCTGTGCAGGGATGGGCTTCCTGCAGAAGATGCTTGAGTGGGGATGCACACAAAGTCACCAATGCATCCAAGATGTGGGATCGGTGGAGTTAACAAAGGGTGTGAGGTCTGCCTTGCTTGGGCAGAGTGGCTGAGCTTTCCCTGTGCGTTTGGCCTCCAGCAGTGCCCCTGGCAGCACAGGAGGGGAGCAGGGGGTATTCCCCCTTGGTGAGGGTATTTTCTCTGCTGCAGGCTTGGGCTCTGCTCAGTTTCCTGGGCTGCAGAAGGGCCCAGCAGGGCTGGAGCAGTGCTAGTGGGCTGCAGGCTTGCTGCAGTTGTCCTACTTTAGTGCCTTGAACTCTGCAGAAAAAGTCTTCGTGCAGCACCAAATCGTGTTAGTGTGTCCTCAGCAGTGCAGAGGAGCACAAATCCAACCCAGAAGCTGCTGGCAGAGGGTTGCTCAGGGAGAGGTGGGGGAGGCTTCGTGCTGTTTGTGGGCTCTGTTTGCTGGTTTAAAGCAATCGTGCTCAGAGGCCTCCTGATTGGCAAAGCTGGTGTCTTGTTGATGATAGCTGTGTTTGGAAAGTAGTGCAGCATTATTAATGTTAAAACCGGTTTGGCTTGTCCTGCTGCCATTGATCCCCGAGGCCTGTTCTTTCTGCTCTTTGCCCAGTTTCTCATCTGTCCCTCCCAATCAAATCAAGACATTGCTATCTGCACATTTTACTTTATTTTACCTTTACTTGCCCTGTTCACATTTAGAGCAAATCTCTGCTTTGCTTCAGTCTCCCCAAAACACAGAGCAGCAAAATGACAGAGTCTGAAGCAATGTCCCTCAGCCCCGAAGGGGGAAGGAGCTCATGACTTCTGGAAGTCAAACCTATATTTGTTGGGATGAAATGACTGTAATACTGTAATGTGTAGGAAAAAACCAACTCCTTTGGCACCCTGTACTTTCTTGAGCTGCATGCACAGCTCCTGGGGTGGGGTGGGACCATGCAGGGCTGCTCGGTCCCTGCACTGCTGAGCGCCTTGGATGTGGGGTTCCCATGGGTAGGAACAGTCACCCTGCAGCACTTGGGGCACAGTCAGGGGAACAGCACTGCTGCCCAGCTCTCAGCTGTCCCCCTGCTGCCAGCTCCCATGCTGCAGAGTGCTTTCCTGTGCTTCGGAGCTTTCCCAAACATCTTTCGCAAGAGGCGAATTGGGGCTGAACTTGGTGCTTTTCAGAGTTGTGATAGCTGAGGCTTATTCACCCTGGGAAGTAAAGGCTGTCTGCCAACCTGATTGCTCTCTTTCCTGCCCCTCTGGTTGCTCTCTGTCGAGGCACTTTGAGATCCTGCTTCCAGTCCAGCAACAGGGAAAATGTTTTTCCTATGTGTATTCCCCTCTTCCTTCCCTTCCAAGCCTCTCCTAATGGCTGTACTATTGCCTTGAGCTGTTTGAATGGCTTGGGGAGGCCATTTGCTCTCAAATACCTGAACTAGAGCCTAATGTGACCTTGCCATGATTTTCCTGTAGTGCCATAGTGCCTTTTCAAAATGTGTGTATCCCACTTCCACCACAAGCTGGAAGCTGCTAGCCTGACTTTCCCATTGATGATGGTGGGGTGGGGCACACTGGCTTGCTGTTCAGCATGCAGGCTTCAGCACAGCTCCTACAGCTACTTTTCCTTCCCTTTTGACTCCTACAGCTACTTTTCCACCCTTTAGGTGCTGCTAAATGCTCTGTTAGAAATATCCCGGTGTCTTGAATCCCCTTGACTATAAGTTACCCCTAAGTTGTGCTGTATTTTGTAAGTTGTTTTCCCTCAAATGAATGGATTGATGGACTTAGGTTTAAAGCCTTTTTTTTTTTGATTAGTGATGGTATCTGTACCTGTAAGGGTGGCATGGTAGCTGTGGTTCCACAGTCTGCCATGTAAATTACTTGGGTTGACTTGTAAGATGACTTGATGAAGTTATCATGGCTCTGTGATCCCGCAGAGCTCCCCAGCTATCACTTGGGCCAGACTAAACTCAGCATCCATCCTTCAAAACACTTCCTAGCTCTTGAGTTCGCATTTATCCTCTTGAGCCTGCTCTTAGGTCTTGCAGCTGCATTCTCCCCCTGTGCTCAGTACATCCTGTTCCTTTATGCCCTGTAACAGCAGCCGGGCTGTGCTGCTTTCGCAGCCTCAGAGCAGAAGCTGATGCAGTTGAGGCACTACAGAGCCGAGGGGACGAGCCCTGCACACGCCTGACCTCGGGGCTGCTGCTGAGGAGCATGTGTGGCTGTTTGTTTGAGACTCGCTGGAATGCAAATGCTCCAGATTAAGGATTCAAATGATTTGCACTAGAATGAGACTCTTGTGATGAGACCGGGCTTGGTGGCTCTGAATAGACAGGGCAGCCTAGTTAAAGAGTTTCACTTGTAAGAAGCCTCTGCTCCGAGGGGCTGTAAAAGATCCTACCCTAATGAGCAGTTAGGGCTGTGCTGCTGGGTTGGTTCAGACTTAGTTTTTTTGTATTTAAGCGTGTGCCTGAATGTTTGTCCAGTAAGTGCTGCTGGTCCGGGGAGCAGCTCTGCTGCCCTGACTTGCAGCAGTCATGCTCTGACTCAGGTTTCTGGCACCTGGCTTGGCATCCTGGCTCCGGGGACACTGCTGTCACCTGTGAGTAACGGCCCTGGCCCCTTACCCAAAGCAGTGACTCAGACTTCTGAGCAGAGGTGGATCTCTTCTCCTGGGGCTGGAAAAGGGGCTGACAGGCAAAACTGGTGCTGCTGCTTGGCACCCGGTCTGTGCTGCCCTTGGCACCGAGCTGCTGCCTCCTGTTTAATCTGGTTGTGGCTTTGGTGGGCAGAAAAGCTGTCGGGCTCTGCCGTGTGACTGCTGCCAGCAGCTGAGTTGGGTTGGCAAGGACAGAGCAGAAAATGGAACTGTCTTGAGGAGCCGTAACTTGCTCTGGCAGTGTAGTGGTTCCTTCATTTTCAGGCAG